GAAACCCAGAATACTTATTTCCCTATGGAAAGAACAAGTGTTAAAAAACTTCAGCTTTAAAAAACTTCAACTTTAAGGAACTTCAACTTTATTTAGAGATTTGAATTAGATGTGTAATCCCTTAAAACGACGATACTTTTTTCCTTTAATGAGTACCTACAGCGGTGAAATTAGAGATGCCGTTTTAGGTCCAAATTTGTCCCTGTGTGAATGATATGTTCTAATAATCTTTGCACCTCAGTTCTTTTCAGAGGCACTGAACACAGGTGCCTGTGTCTCAGTCTCAGGAGTCTAAGTGGCAGCTAGAGAGTGACTAATGACATCATATTTTCTTACTTTTTTTTTTTTCCCCTTAAGTTGCTTCTTTGTCAAGACGGATGTGGGGCCAGAAGTTAAGACTCCCAGCACTCAGTCACTGAAGCTTTAAGGGACACCCTCAGTCACACAGCCAGCACATACAGACCGCTCTTTTTTTTTTTCCAGATGTCACTTTCTTCAGCAAAAAGCTCTGTGGTCTTCTTGTGACAGAAGTATGTCTTCCAGGAGCTACTCACAAGCAAATGGCAGATGTTCCACCTGAACTCACAAAGACTGTGGCCATACAACTGCACATGATGGCAGGAATACAGGGCATTGCCACCACTGCAAACAGCTGTGACTCAGCTGCAGGGCAGAACAGGTGGGACCAGGATCACCTTGACCCAAAAATCACCTCTGGGTTGGAGTCAGTTCAAATTCCACTGCTGTCTATTTTTATGCACTGTATACCTCCACAAACTTGTGTAGCCTGGCAGAGAAAGAACTTAATTTGCAGGTCAAAGCAGACCACATCCTGCCCTGTGTACCCCAAATTCTCCTACAACAGCCACAGTAAGGAAGGGCAGCTCTTCTTTTCTAAAACTTTTTTTAACTAAGTCTGAAATGTCACTAAATTCAATACTTTATAGTGGTTGCAATTCAAGATATTTCCTACACTTTCCCTCACCCATCTAGAGAACATTTTGGTTATCTTAGAAAACACATCAGTTATGTTCAGGGTGTCTTAAATTCTTGCAGCTTTTTACCCTGTTTTTCATTTACTTGTCTGTTTTTATCTTTATAAAATTGGTCATACAGGGCTTCATGCACATTTAGCCTGCAAATGCTGAAGCTGCAGGGATCACTTTCGCCTCTTCAAGAGCCAACAGCCAGAGAAGCACACATAGTAAAACAGAGGAGTTTTTTTATGGGTAACTGGAGGATCTCCAACATGCTGTCCATCTGCACACTAATGACAAGTGTGTGCCCCCCTCCGAGACATCAACCACAGACAGTGTAAACAGCAGGAGGGTTAATCCACCTGTTTTCCCCAAATGTTAGTACAGATTTTCTACTCTGATCTTGACAGATTTCGTGAGTGACAATCTGTGCTGTTTTGTTCAGAAACATCTTCCTTGCCATGATCATCAAGAAGTACAGAGCACATACAATGGGCTCATGTCAGCCTTTATTGACACTGAATTTCTTTATAATAAGTAGTGAGAAAAAGTGAAAAATGTCTCATGTCTTGGAAAATTAAATTCTGCATTTCTCAATTGCTGATTTACATGTCTTACCCAGTCTCTGTGGCACCAACATAATTGGCCCTGGCCTGTGTTCTTTCTTCCATTGCTCCAGGTCATCAAGCTCTTTCTTAGCAACTGGGCAGGTATAAAAAGAAATAAATATACAGAAGTTAGGGGAATACTAAAAAGCAGCCATTACTACTAATTGCATGTAATCCTGAAGACCATCCAGGAACTTGGTCTCGAGGGATGCAGACAATCCCACAAGAGGTTATGCAGTCACTGCAATGATCAGCTAATAAGGCAAACATTTTCCCTAACTTGAGACTGTAATGGTGAGCAACCCTAGGACTCAACCCCAAAAATAAAGCTGAAACCAGCTAGAAGAGTGATAACAGACTGCTTTTTAACCTCTGGAAACCTACAGGTATATGCCACAGTATTTACTCCTGCAGGTAAAGCAGAAGTTGTTACGATGAAGATGTTATTGCTGCATAGAGGGAAATCCTTGTGGTGTAATGCTCCCCAGCAGGGAAATGAAAAGTAATTTTCCCTCCCAACCACATGCTCCCTAAATAAAAACAGGCAGAATGCATGAATCAGCTTCAAATTGAGACACTTCAACATAGGCACCCACATGTGAGATGGGCAGCAAGCTCCCAGGGTAGTCAGTGGAAGTCAATAGAGCTGGGGTGCAGCCATATGCTCTAGGATGGCTAATTTCACTTCTCTATTTGCTGACTGGCAGAGGAAAAAAAAAAAACACAATTACTTTCAATAGCAAGGCAAATGAAGCCTATGGAAAGAGGTGCTGTGTTTTACACTAGCACTTGAGCTGCTCTAGGGAGCTTATTTCAGTCTTACTAACTGTATATCCCAATGGCTGGCTATGGCTATCGGAGGCTAACACCAGCCCTCCTCTAAGAGGATAAAGCCAGTATTTGGGTAAGCTTCTAAAGAGACCCAAAAGACAGAGAACAGCTTTTTATTTCACCTTTAAAACAAGCATTTAAGTAGAGACTGCATTCAGTGAGGTCCTGTTCCCGCCAGTGTCTGAGACAGAAATGCTTGACATACTTCAGACCTTTCACACTGGTGCCACAAAGTGAAAACATATCTTTATCACAGCAGCAGCATCTTTGCTGTTAACATTACAGTCAGGTCTAAGATGATCTGCTGCTATTCTTCCTTCAAAAAGATTTTAAGTCCATTTTCTTTCTTGCAACCGAAGAGGAAACCCAACCCATACCAGCCTTCTGGTAAAGCATTTCAGGCAAACTCACAATGTTTGAGAAGAAAGGATTTAATTGCACTGTTTCCTTGAGGACTCAACACCTGAGAAATGCTGATTCACATTCCTTCAGCTTTCATGTCTTGCATAAATCCATGTTCAGGTGTGTAGGACTGCTCTGCTCAGTCAGTCACCTCTGAATATAGAATTTATTTCACAACTGACCCTTGCTGTAACTTTGCCAATAAAAGATTTCAACATATGCCTGATCTTTCTGGTAGAGGCTTAGTGTGTTCATTCCTGCTTAGCTACTTTCACCAGCACGACTCAAAGCCAAGCAAAAGTGAACATATATCCACAAATACTTTCCATCTATAATGACTTTTACCAGATTCTGTAAAAGACTCACCTGCAATCCTTAAATGCATGTTCAAGGACCAACAGCGTCTGCAGTTACTTTTGTTTCCACATGGGAGTATCTTAAAAAATATTTATTTATATTTTTGTTCTTCCTCCTCCTAACTCTGAGACTGTTCAAAGTTACCCAATATTAATTCAATCCTGTAAAAGTTGGATAGAGCTAATTCCAGCATAATCTTGTAGAAGACATCATTAACAACTCTTGCACTGAAATTACCAAAACCCTTCCAAACAAGATTTATTCTGCATGAAGTGAAGCCAGATGATGAGTCAATCTTAAGAAAAGCTACATGATCATGGAAAATGCTCAGAGCACTGGCATTACTGTCATAGCTGTACGTATAAAACCGTTGTAAAAATGAGGATAAAAATCGCAAGAGCAATAAAATGCTAAAGCCCTGAAATTATTCAAGTAGAAATAATGTGTTACGAGATTACACAACTGAACTTACTTTGTTGCAACTGTTTTCTTCTGGTTTCATTTGGAGTTACCAAGACATATGGGCCAACACTAAAATAAAAGAATACACTCTTATTTTTCCTGTTTACATAAAATCAGGACTAGAAAGAGTTCCTTCATCAGCACAGTCAGTTTTCTCCTCTTGTAGCAAACAACTTCATATGAAAACTAGTATTTATTCTGATTCAGCCCTTTAGGAATTTTTGGTAAGTACTCTAGAAATACTTGTTATATTTAGAATTGGCAGCAGATAGCAAAGATAATATTTTCAGGAACTTATAGCATAGCCTTTGCTGTTCTTATTCAAGACTTACTCTAGACGGCTGACCTCAGATCTCATGCATTTCAAATCAAATCACTTCCTTGAATCAAAATGTTCCATGTGGAAGACCACTGTCTACTGGGAAGAGCTGGCAGGCCCACCCCTTACCTTGTGGGCACCAAGCACCTTGTGGGCTTAAGCAGTCTGCCCAGAAGCTGCCCAAGGAGAGTGCAAAGTCACACTGTTTGTGATGGACCCAGAGGACTTACTCTCAGCCGGAGCCTCAGTTTCCTTGTCAGCCTTTCATTTTCAGGCACCGGGAATTCCTGGGGCATATTCATCTTGCTGTGTGACTCACTGAATCAGGACAAGGGGCTGTTTTGCCAGAGTTAATTCAAAATGCAGTTGCTGTCTCAAGGAGCTATCGATCTAATGTGACAGCAAAGAGGCAAGACAGGGTTCACAGTGTATTAAGAGACTCGAGGTGATCAAAAGAGTGATGAAAGCATGTCAGTTCCACTTGGAGAAGACAAAGGGTTTTATCTCCATGGTGTATTGTGTGAGTAGGAGTTTACATGGCTCCCACTCAGCAGAAGCTGTGCCATGGGGGTGAAGTTTACCAGAAATGCACTAAGTAGCAGTTGGCCCCACACATCAGAGTCTTGGCAGGGTTTTATATGCACATGTGGACGCAAATATTTCATCTGGCTGCATTGCAGGGAAAGCACAAGGAGAACAGCTAGCAAGGAATAATTAGGGGTGAAGGCTGAACCTCTTCAGGAAGGGCCATAGGGAGTGGCTAGAGGACAAACTAGTTAGCAGAGATTGAAGTTGGCAGTGGAAAAGTAATGGAACAATAAGGCCCAAGACTAAGGCTTAAAAGGGGAATGAAAATCATGCAAAAAGATCAAAGCGCCCAAAGCTGCCTGCTGCCATATCAGTGTAATTCAGCATTTGGTAAGAGAGTATTTATATCCAATTACCTCTTTCTCTTTGAAGACTTATTCTAGGAGGATGTGGATTAATTTATGAGATTAAACTAGTAAAGATAGAGCCGTGAGCTTTAATGGTGCCATTTAATATGATCTTTTCCCTTTCTGCCAGCATACTCTGGTGCCCCCGAGATGGTGAGACTGTTCTGCATGTCTCCCCTGAATCCCAGACCCTCAAAGGCAGGAGTGAAGAGAGCAGCAATGCCCCGCTGGCATTCACCACACAACTGCAAACATTGCTTAAAAGGAGCTTTGACAACACATCTTGCTTATGGCTTAACATTCCCTATCAGAGATGTTGTTTCAGATTTTTCTCTGTTTGATTGAGTAGTAGCATTTCCAATTTATCCCAAAGTGCCTTTAACAAGCTGCTGCACAATTTATCTGTTTCAAGACTTTTTTAGTAGCTTTTGTTTTTGCTTCAGATATTAAGATCATATTTCTCTCAAGTTCATACACAAAAATTATTAAGTACCTTTTAAACTCCCCTCCCTTCCCTTTGGCAGTGATAAAAGTGGATGAAATTGTGGGTTGCAATGCTACATATCTTCCCCTCCCAAAAATCGATCAGTATAGCTAAGATATCACACTGCTTCACAGCACTAGAGGGCAGAAGAGTTTTTATACCATGTACTTTGATGATTTCAAACAGCATTTGCTGGTTGATTTAAGTTATAATCAATTTTTTTAAAAAAGATCTCAGCTTGTCTGAACATGTATGAGAAATCACGGTATCAAATCTAGCCCTTTTGGCTAGATTTCCTTTATCTGCTTCTGCTTTTTGGCTGGAAGGCTCAGACCTCAGGGCCCATTCTTGTGGTACCTGACCGTGGCCTCATCATCAGCACCTCAGAAGGACTGTGCCTGAAATATAGCAATGATCAATCCGTTTACAAAAGAGGTAGAGGTGACAGTACATTTACCATCTGTTATCCAGAGAGCAGATTAAGACTCAGTGTGTTTAAAACAGTGCTTATCTAAAAGCCAGACTGGTTTCCATTTTATTGAAAAAAAGGCAAATAAAGTGAGGATGTCAAGTCTCCAACAGGGGAGGGAAGGGGAGAACAGAACACCAGGTTTTCTTTGCCTTTTATCTAATGCTTTTAGTTTTTAGAAATTATAAGGAAAAGAAAAAAAGGTGGTGGGGAAGCATTATTGAGTTTACCTAATTTTATGGCATTCACCTTGGTCTCTGGAAAGATATGTCAGAGTGTGGATTTGGGTACTGGTATCAGAATGGCCTATGCTGAAGGAGGGCAGATTTAGGTAAGATAGTAGGAAGACATTCCTTCGTGCGAGGGTGGTGAAGCACTGGCTTAAGTAAGTACATGGAGCATGTACATGGTAAGCTTCCTGTGGGAGGGGTAAAAGTCAGGGTACAAACTGGCTTCTTGCCTTTTAACCCTACAGGAGAAGAGCCAGATGAGCTGTTGCCTGAGGAACTCTGCCCTACCAGTTCTAAAATCCGCACCTAATATCCTTTGTTTTCTTGAGATTCTGTTTTTGAAGGGAGAAAAGATAATACAAAAACCCACCACCAGCTTTCACCTTGTGTATTTATCCAGTTTGCAGGATATTGTACGTCATTTCTTTGTTCAGGAAAAACCTCTGATCCAGTTAAGCCTATAAAACCCACTACAGCCTGTCAATTTAATATTCCAGTCAGTTTCTAAGTTGCCACAGTAGCCATAAGTCTGGAGCAAATTATCCTACTTACCTGAGGAGCAATTAAGGAAATGTGAAGATTTTAAGCTATCAGTGGTGTGCAGAATTTTGTGCTTTATACCAATATATGAAGTGCTTCAAAATCCACAGACAGAAAAGATTATGAAGAATTTAACTTTACAGTTTCCCTAATAATGATTCTAATTGTTACAAGACTTAAGCATATCTTTGAGGTAGGGTTGTTTTATAAATACAAATGCAGAAGTCACTGGAAAGGGGAGAAAGAACATCTTACCCCAGTTACAGCTCTTCAAAAAAGAAAAATCATCTTCTGCCTTTATGGATCATATTAATCTTGATGAGTGTTTTGTTGTTTTATTTTCTCTGCAGAAAATGGGAATGTATTGACTCATTACACAGACTGAACAGATATTAATGAGAGTAAGAAAGTTATAACCCAATAAGACAATGTATCTATATTGAAATTTAAAAAAAAAGTAACCTCCTATGATTTTTCAAGCAGATACACATAATATATACCCTTGTATATAAATACCTAGGTAACAATCTATCATTGTGGTTTAACCCCAGTCAGTAACTAGGTACCACATGTCTGCTCACTCACTCCGCCCCTCATGGGATGGGAGGGGTAGTTAGAAGGTTTAAAGTGAGAAAACTCATGGGTTGAGATAAATACAGGTAAAGCAAAAGCTGCACACAAAAACAAAGCAGGGCACAGAATGGATTCACCACTTCCCATGGGCAGGCAGGTGTTCCACCATCCCCAGGAAAGCTCCATCACATGTAGTGGTGACTTGGGAAGACAAACACCATCACTTTGTGCATCTCACCCTTCCTCTTCCCCCAGCTGTGTATGCTGAGCATGATGTCATATGTTGTGGGGTACACCTCTGCCAGGTGGGGGTCAGCTGTCCCACAACTCTCACAACTTCCTGTGCACCCCCAGCCCTCTCTCTGGTGGGGTGAGAGATAGAAAAGGTCCTGGCTCAGTGTCAGCCCTGCTCAGCTGTAACAAAAACATCTCTGTGTTATCAACACTGTTTTGGTCACAAATCCAAAACACAGCCCCCAGAGTGACTACTATGAAGAAAATAAGCTCCACTCCAGTCAAAACCAGCACATACAGAGAGAGATACATAACATTTCAGTCAGGAGAAACATGCAATTCAGTCATAGATAATCTGTAATGATCGTTTATACTTTGCCTGATCAGTAACATTAGGAACACCATGTCTGAACACTTAAATTCTGATTCGTATGTGTAAGTCTACTCTTCTAACTAGCTCAAGGACACCTTTTCAGTGCTTACAAGGCATTGACCATAGCAACTTTTCTTCTACTTTCTTTCAGGTTTGTATAAAATAGTTTATTTCTAAAACTGAAAAAAACATCTGAGGACTGCTCTTCACTGGTAATAGTTTTTGCAGAGCTGTGCTCTTCAGTTTTTCCTCAGGTCCACTCTAGCCATCTGCCACAGGAGAGATTTTCAAATGAAGTGTGAAATAGTTTAAAGAGTTACAAAAGGAATGGGTGTTACAAACTATTTCCAGTTCCACTGCGTTTTATACCGTGGGTGCATTGGCACATGAATATCACAGAGCTGAAAGCCAAATATCTTGCTCTGCTGGGCAGAGTGCTCTGCATAACAGACAGAAACTAAGTAGAATAAAGTTGGAGAGCAACACAAATGACTAAAGCTTGGAAGGGAGACATGGGTAGATTCAGTCTGAGGAGGGACCTAGGGAAAGATACAAGTGAGATACTGCATTAGATAGTATGTTAAGACTGAATTTAAAAGATAAAAGAGACCAAACTTCCAAAGTCAACTCCTGAATTTCCTTTGAAGATGCAATAACCTGAACTTTGTGTTCCTTTATTAGGAATTGCTTTAAGAGCAGTCAAATCCAGACCACCACAAAGTATTGTTTTCACCAAGGCTCCTGTGCCTGTTGGAGCAGCCACATGCTGCTGAGCAGTGCAGAAGCTGCCAAATTAAAGGACTACAAGATGCCAAAATCCAGCAAGCAGACAACTGTCCTGTAGGTATCCCTATTTTGCAATGCACACACAGCCAGATGCTAATGATAATTGACAGCCACAGCTCTAGACCT